TTTTTGACTCAGATTTCGAAAAGATCTTGTTAGTTACCGTGTCGTACATCCCGGTATGATGCGTTTGGTTTTCTATAATACTTATCCACGATCGCGTCTATTACACTGCATTGATCACCCTACCCCATGCACTCAGTCGACAGGTGTATTACGTTGTATTACGTTATACGTCGTTTGACGAGTTCCAAATAATTGTCTACAGACGATCGGTATTTTCGGTCCAGTGTAACACAACTAAATTTGTTCTCATCTCGAACTGAAATGCGATTTGCATATCGTAAACAATGTTTGGAGTGTTGTTGAATCCCTCAACATGACTTGTATCCAATGCATAGACGTACTTTGCGGCATGTTTATAAATCAGTGAACGATGTTGTCCAGCATATCTCTTAGGTAGTTTGACACATCATAGACTTTAATATTATCTTCAAGTCGTATGATTCTAACACTGGTTCATTTTATAAAGATTACAGCCTACGTAATATATTACAAAAAAACGAATTTAACTACAAATATAGTGTGTGTGACCGTTTTGCGGTTGTATTTTCCAGAGTTTCTGATTGAACGAAGTTGCGTTGAAACGTACTTTGATACATTGTAGCAATGTCGGCACCAGTCTCACCTGTGCGCAAAAATAAAAATACATGGTTATTGAACACTGCTATTAGAGCAGAACGGTACAATATATGATACGATTGAATACAACTCTAACCATTTCCAGCAGAATAATAATAACGGAAAATCGTACAATCTATTGATCAATCCATGTCGATGTGATGTGTGGGACCAAACCCCCAAACGAGGTGTTTTGATACAGGGGTTTAGAGTTTCACGTACATCCACCTGGGTCTTCAAATATCATTCTAGAAATTATCCCGGGACATGATTATAATGTAACCGGGAGTCTTCTTTGCGCGTAGGTATTGATTAGAATGCCATGCGTAGTTAATAACCAATGAAAATTATATGCTCAAAGCGGGTCGTCATCTGCGCACGCGCAGAAATTGAGACCCGAGCGACGATAACAACACACGCTTAAAACGCTATGGCCATCTGACGCATGCGCAGCTGACGATTCCCTCGCTTCAATGTACATACTTGAAATATTGCATCTGTTCGAATATACGTTTGATAAAAAACGTATACAGATTCTGAATTAGAATACCGTCGTGCTAGCCGCCATTCAGTATACTAACATTCACTTTTTAAATAGTGTAAAACTCGGAAATTTAATCGGAAGAGTTAATCAGACCGAGACATATATAAATCCTTACCAGGAGACAGTCACGGTCCCTCGATACAGAGAGCTGTTTTGCCAACCCAATGTTGTATAGTTTATGATGACTGTGTTCTTATAGAACAGCCCAACAGAAGCGCCTACGTTAACTTTGTAGGGTTGTGTTACCAATGTTTGAAAAAAAAACATCTTTGTCTTTTTTCATACAAGACAAACTGGTGAAAGTCTGGTAGACTATTTTACATAATCTGTTCACACAAAATTCACTGGAAGATTTGTAAAAATGAAAGCACTGTTATGGGCGCTATTGAGGAGAATATCTCCTGATTTAGATAAGCGCCTTGCTGACGGAGATTTAAAATTTGCACAGCTGGGATTCTTACATAATTGAACTAGTACACAAAAGTAACAGTATTTTTTTTCAGTCACATTCATACGTGATATTATGTATACTAGAAAAACGCTTTTTAGTGAAATGGTGTAGTGAATACCTAAATTTTAATCATAGAACGCTCGCTCGAATGTCTTGAGATGAAACACAGAGAAGAAGCCGTATAAGTGCATTTACATCTGATTCATTCATGTAGTTCATGTATGGGTTTTCCGTTCAAATGAGAAATTCAGTAGACGAGCAGTCCGGTGTATTTGTGCAGTCAATGACGCAAAATATTTTTGTTTATATCTTGTTTATATCTTTACAAATACATGGCGATTTACCATGCTGGTCTCTTTAGTTGATGAGAGTAAATCGATCAGCAACATTATAGTACATTACATTTTGTATTCAATATTCTGTGCGTATTTATTAGTACGGTTCGTGAGTGATATCGCTGCAAAATTATTTGTGTAGTGATTTTTAAGATGAAAACAAATAGATAACTACATTATTGCCTCAATGTCGACGCCTTCGGCATTTTGCATACCTGCCCCAAATTTCAATTTACCGTTATTTGTTTTTGTATGGCGCAATTATTTGTGTCTCATGCATACACAGTTAACATATTATAGGAAATATATTCAATCTAGAATGTTATAGCCACGCTGAAAACAGGAAGGTAAGTGCTAAATAATCTCCAGTATAGGACATGGTTGTGCTTTGTAGACAAGTGAAAGAAAGAAAACAATCGTAGAATATGTTTTAAAAAGCATGTATTATGCTATCGCATAATTGTTCGGAGGCATATCATTGCTGTTTGTAAATGCATGAAAACTCCGGTATAAAGTATATACAGCAACATTAATTTCGAATAATAATATTTTAAGACATTGTCTCTAAGGCATGTTTGAGCATGGATGTTATTTGTATCATCACTTTATCTTTATAAACATTTGGTTTGAACCATCATAGAAGCGTCCGCTTATTTTGAATTCCTATTGTTTGATATTGTGTGTGTGGATGTAGGTGACCGCGTATGCATAATGATAATGCTTATTTATTGATTTATTTATTAATTTATCATGGGACCAATCACTAATTTGAAGTTAGTTCGAATTAGTATGAATAAGCAGTTTAAGGCTCTCATCTTTTGCCACATTCCCAAACGCATGGACACATAACGAAGGGAGAAAAAAGATTTAAGAAAAAAAACACACAAAAGAGGCTATTATTTATATTACTTACTGATTTCAGTAAACCCATTATTCCCGTCATGAAAATAACTGTATATGTCCCAATGTTCGTCATTTTTGCATAAAATTTTTGAAATAAAGTAATTTAGTGTTAATATGTACTAATCATATTCGGAGACATACGTCTATAAATTAATACAGCGTATCGTTCAAACAACAATGTATTTATTTATTTTTCAGTTTTAAGCAATAAATAGAAATATTTTATGCTGCTCCGGTTTTCGCTGGAAATCGAAGTCACGTAATTTGCAGAAGGACATATGCATTAATGTATAATGACATTCTTTTCGCAGCAAAGGTCATCCAAGATTTGACCTTCTGTTAATTCAAGCACGACCTGTATTATATATTACGTATTCATCATCTATGTCATAGATCAATATGTATGCAGTTTCAATTCGCCGGTGTGTTTTTTTTTCACCTGCCAAAGTAGATTGAAATTAAAAATAAAAAGCCTAAACACACTTTTTAAAGACTGCAATCATTTAATGACAATGAACTAGTGTTAGTCTCACCATATTTGTTCAATAAGAATTACGTACATGCGCTTAATGTTATCACTTGGCTTTGTATCATACGACTAATGCGAACCTCACAGCCATAAGCAATTCTAAATAACGTATTCATGCGCCACTACGGATGATGCTCTTTAGAGATGGGATATACATGAGAGATAGCCCTATGGGATCTAATAATCATTTTAAATAGAAAAAGACAAATAATCTTCAGATGAAGGGGTTACTGGTTTGGATAGCAAGGTAAGCCACAACAGCTGACGAAATAACTTCCTCCTCATATGTAATGGAAAACAAGTGCGCATGAGTTTGTTAGCAAAAAAATAGAATGCCAAACTAAACGTCAGTAAGCAAATTTATAATTCCGGAAAAACAAAGAGAACGAACAAAACACAGTCAATTTAGGAATAGATATATAGACCTCCTGAGAAGGGTTGACAAGGCGGGTCGACAAGAGTGGTCACATTCTGCCCTGCTGCGGTACACATATCATAATCAACATATAAAGCAACAAACAACAGTTATTAATATCCTAACGCGACAATTATGTTCGAACATCAGCGACCATTTGTGACAGAGAAACATGACTGGTATATTTAGTCCAGCAATGGAAGCCTGATTCAGTGAACGGAACGCAATAACTTGGCAAGAAGAGCAAATAGTATTTAAATAATTAGTAAATATCATTAGAACACAACGTTTGGCAATAGACTAAAAAAACGAATTTTAGGCACTGTGCGAAAAGAGCCCCACTGACTCTTAATCTCCCTTTCGTATTCATGGATTGTTATACAACACAGGAAAAAGTCTTAGTCAGCACTTACAGAAATATGTAATTTGCATGGTAATTGGTTTCGTTGGAATGAAAGATGTATTTAATCCCCGTGTTGCGAAATAAGTTAAATTAGACCGGGAATTAGTTATCAGGCCTATCTCCGTCTCGCGTCACAAATGATTCTAACATGAACAAATAAAATCGTTTTAGTTTGTGTAATTGTCTGGTTACCTGGCTATCGGTCAATTCTTTCGAAAAGGCGTGGTTCACTCTTTTAGGTGATCGTCGTAATATGTTTTAAAGATTTCTAATCGTTCTTTCAGACTCCCTGATTTTCGGCAACAATAAGACGGAAATATTGCACAATCAATATATCGGCAGAATAACTAATTCCTTCTTTGCAATGAATGATTTTTCAGGTGTTTGATAAAGAAATCAATTATTAAAATAGAATTTCATGAGGCTTTTATATTTTGCCGAACTGTTCTGAGTGCATCTGTCGTTATTGCACCTATAAACGGCTAAACATTGTCGTGTTTGGTGTGCACATTTAGGTACTAGTGATTTCAATGCCCAATAACAAATTATTTGATAATGAAAGACAGGGTCGTCATAATACGACGCAAACCAAAATTTGTGTGTCATATTAAATAATTTTCTGAACAATTACTATTGACATGATCAGTATGTAATACAGCAACTATTGAAAACAACGCACGAGCAATTAAAGCCGTATACATATCTACTGTGCAATTTGTGTGTGTATTTTCCAGTCTAAAGGGTATATTATTAACATAGGTTGCTATACGTGTATGTATGTATAAGTGATCTGAATTAGACTTACACATTACTTCACCTAGCAGCCAGGGTCGTATGATATACGTCTCCAGCAAGGCTACCGGCATACAGAAAACCAACACAAGTAAATCGGCCACGCTGAGATTCACCAAGAAATAGTTGGTAGAGTTGCCCATGTCTTTGTTGCAGCATACAACGAATAGAATTAACACGTTACCAATCACGCCGAGTGTGAAAATTATAACGTAAAAGACGGTGGTGATAATTATTGTATAACTCGAAAGTTTGTACTCATCTACGGTATTGTTGACAGCCTGGTACATCGATTCACTGGAATTCATCTTCGCCGTGTTTTTTTTTTACTAGTACGTAAGTAGCTAACTGAGTGAGCTGTCTAAACGAACGCGGCTTTGCCAATGGCTGACGTTGAAAGAGTAGAGAAATACTGGCTCAATACCAATTACTACGACTCCTGGGCGCGTTTCTGACGTGGGCGGGAAACATATCTTCAAACTCACTCTTACTATATAATACTCCCTAAGTTAGGAAATAATACGACCATAAAATTGTTTTGATCATAA